TTAATAAGTCTTTAGTCAGTTCTCAGCAAGTACTCTTCAATAAGTTTATAGTTAAGATCATCTGTAATAAGTTGACCAAGTAAAGTCTGTGTTATTAAACGTCGTGTCTCTTTCAATTGAAACCCTGAACACCTAAACAAAGCCAACCGCTCGGGCCATTACAGACTTATGTACGTTATAAAGCCGTCCATAATAAACCAAATTTAATTAAACTCTCAAGGAATATGTGTCTGCTCATTTGAGTAGTCTCATATGTTCATCTACTCATTGTATTAAGCAATTTTGGATGATGTTGTTTACATTGTGAATCGTGTCCACACAGTCCCGTACGGTCTGTGTAACTTTAATAATAATCAATTCAGATTCTAGTATCTGTACTGACTAAAAATAGTTTCAACATTACACATACCTACTTATAACCGCATTAAGCATTCACAAGACAAATTCGATGATCGACATTTGCCCTTTGTGCGATAGCGGTTAACTAATGGACGTACATAAAAGGCACAATAATAGTGATATCGTCAGCGTTACTGAGACACTGGTCGTAAAAAAATATTAATATCGTTCGTTCAACGGAAGTTTACATCACCCTTTATATTAAGTTACCAGTCGTCATTTAATTATAAATGTGCAGACATTGACATAGCGTTAAGAATGTTTTTTTAGTAAATATGGACGCCGAGCATGCGGGCAGATCGGCGACAAGCCTCGCTGTTTATAGCGATGACGGTATCGTGAGGAGACCCACTCCCCTCTCCTCCCCCCCTTTCCTACCCAGTCCACTTCTTATACGAGGGTCAAATGCAATTCCTTTTTGGTTTTACACGAACCTGTTCGCTATCCGGTCAAAATGCGTTTAAATATTGTAACAGAAACTGACTGCGAGTAAAAACACCGGTATTGCTTTGGATTGGCGAAATTTGGAAGCTAAAGTTTTTATATCGGTTGACTTGATATATTCACGAATATTTTTTGCTATAGTTGAAGTTGAACCCTCCAACAAAACAGCTTTACTTTTTACCTTAGCCTTTTTTACTTACCAATATCTAAGTTAGATTATAAATGCGAAAGATGGGGTGGATGTTTGTTACTCTTTCAAGCTAAAACTGCAAAATAGATTTTGATGAAATATGGTCTATGGATAATTTTATGCCGGAATTAACATATAGTCCACTTTTTATCCCTTTATTAAATGGTTCCTTAGGGATATAAGTTCTATAAAGGAAACGTGTAAACCTCGCGGTTAAAGCTGCTGACATTGTGCTAATAAAGAATATTGTAATGTTCAATAGTAATATTACTACTGAAATATATTTATTATGGGTATTTATTAATATATTACTGAAAAAACAATATAAGTTATTCGTTTTGGTTAAGGTAAACAGTAATAGATTTAGTTTTCTACGACTACTTTATACCTATGAATGGTACCTACTAATTCTCTAAATTGGATCGCGATTAGCTTAGATAATACGAAAATATTTAAAAGAATAAGCAAACTACGCACTTTAGAACTATAGAACACTATAGGATCTGAACCTTCTGTACACATTACACTAAAAGCACAAGTGTGATGCCGACAAAATAATACTCATTTTAGCCGATAAAGTTGTTTTATTGCTTTTTTTTCAATCACCTGACTCTATACTATAGGAACACGCACAGAACATAGATAAGTTATAAAATCAAGGTGTTCCACTTTGGCATGCTTCCATTGATTTTCTTGACAAACGATAGGTTTGAGGTGTTCGAATGTGTTTCATTTCTGTAAAATTTTCTTAATAATGGTGATATTAGAGGTCTCAAACGGGACAAAAATAAGTCCAATTTATCAAAGTAGAATTAATTAAGTAGAATATTTGTAGAATTACAAACTAACAAAGTAGAATTGCAAACGAAAAAACCAAAGATTACGATACAATTCTTCTATTTTTGCGCGGGCAAAGTCAAAATTTCTTCGTAAATCTTATTTAGATCAAAGGCTATTCTTAACTTTTGCTGTTATTAAAATCTTCTACTTTCTCCTAAAATCAAGATTTTTATTCATAATTACTTGGTGTACTCTTGAATGTAAAATGTTGGGATTGTGATATTTTTCCTGAAATAGTAATTTAATAAAATTTGAAATAGTGAATCTAGTAAAATTAGAAATAATAATATATACCTTTGGATATTAGAATAACATAAAGCAAGCGAACGTATTTTTTTGGAGAATGTTTAGTAAGGTATCGTCGTTGTTAGATAATATTTAAAACCAATTATATTAATTCATATTTTCATTCGATTATATCATATTTAAAAAATAAAAAGTATAACTAAATGAATTTTAGTCGGCGGCGCGGCGGGCTGGCCGCATGTGCCCTGCCCTACGCCGGCTTAATTAAACAAATAACTTGTTGTCACGCAATTTTTACAGAATTTTATACCCAACAAATGTGCGATTGCGTTCAATAAAAAAAAGATCAAAAAGTGATAGAAATCATATAAAATTCAAGTCATTTCGGTATGTACAGTAAACAGCAGGTCAGGTTATAATAACAAATCAATGCTTTGTATGTAGAGTTAAAATCCACAGGAGAAATTTTGAAATATTGTCGTAACATGATGTGCAGCCATGTGTACTTACATCATATATATTACAGCTCAAGACCAAGACCATAACTATTAATAAAACGAATTTAACTATGAACTATGCTACTCCATTTCATTAAACTAGGGGTGCAAATTTTTTGGTACCATTTCACCATTTACCTTTAAACAAAATCCCAAATGACAAATCCGATCAATATTCTGGCGCGTTGCCACTACCAGCCGGCCGGCTGCCGTCAGCAAGTCACACTAAGAAAATTTCGGTTGTTTGTTTATGTTTACATAAATTTTAACTGTTTAACCCAGATAGCAAAAACATCTCACCATAAAAACTAAAATAACAATGATGGTTACGTTACCGTTTGTTTCCTTTTCGAAATAAGCAAAATTAAACTTTTACCATCGATACCCTAACGATTGGATAAAGGAATAAAACAAGCTGTATAGCTATGAATTTAAGTTTTATATACTAATATATACTAAAATTAAGCTTTATATATTATAGATACAACCAATTCAAATAATTGAATTTAAATAGTTACATGTCGAAAATTTAAGTAATTTAGTTATTAAATTAAACTTGTGTTATAGGTAATTGATATTATGGACGTACAGGATTTCTCAAAGTTCATTTGACTAGTTGACGGATGAAGTTTTATTAAAAAGAAACACTAATCACTATTTTTATTAAAAGCATTGCCCCATTATTGTCGTCTTGCCATTACAACTGGATTGCGTCATCACAAAGAAAATAGAGACGCGACCTATTTTTGCGTTAATTCGCTGTGTTGATCGAAATCAAACAGTGATCGGTATTGTGTTTTAATGGTGCTGTATATTTAGGTATACTGTCATTTATCAGTGTAGGCATCTAGAAAAAAATATGATTAAAATATGCCATTACCTACAGAAAATATTAAAATAGAGTATATAGTGAGTAGCCACGACGTAGATTATATTTATCGTAATGTTTTTTTTTATAAAGTTTGCCTAACCTAAACCTAGTGACTTTAACAAAAAAATAGACTTCTAACGATTGGTATATTCGGCGAGCTTCCTGTCCTGATAACCGAATATATAAGTATTCGGCCGGATGTGGCGCCAAAACTTGTATCACAAGAAAAAAAATGCAATTGCGAAAGAAATAGTTTTTTTTTTAAATATTAATGAATAATCTTTATTGATGGATTATTAATTACTAAACGGCACTATTATTACTAACCAAACGGCATGAGAATCGGCATACGTGATAGCAAGTAAGAAAATACCTATAAATTACCATTTTTGATCAAGATTGCAGCAAATTATTTATTGTCGCCAGAAAAAAGTGTCTATTCAGAGCGTCTTTTCTCTGAAGCTGATTAGTCTACGATAAAAAAGAAGTAAACTACTTCCTAAAAATGCAGAAAAAATAATCGTTAAATTTTATAATACAGAAGATGATTGTGTCTGTTCTAATGACTTTCATGATTATAAGAAATATGAAAAAATATTATTCTAAAATTAATCAATAATTTCTTTTATTTTACCTATTATATCATTACAACAAATTATATTAAGTACACTTAAGTACCTATGCGGTATCCGGCCGAATAGTATGGACATTTTCGGTATTCGGCCGAATATAACAAAAGCAGCCGAATAGGCCGAATACCGAATATTCGTTGCAAGTCTACAAAAAATATAAGAAATCCTTACGATAATTTCTTTGTAGAAAAAAAGGATAAAACCTTTTCCAACTCTTGTTCAATGAAGTCTTGTCTATACTTCTATACTAATATTATAAACGTAATGGATCGAATTTAAAAAATTGCGGTAAAACAGCTAGTTTAGTATAAAGAAAGTCCTCGTCCAGGATTCGTGGAAAAACTTACTGTATTTTTATTTAGGTGACCCGACCGGAGATCGAACTAGTCATTTTCTTTTTAACATTGCATGGTCTAAATATAGTATGATTGTTGTTATGACTTAGTTGTCCAGTGCTAGTACCTAACCGGCATTTACCAAATAAGTTTCAATTGTTTTAAATCACTTTATTTGGTTATTGTGTCCAGCCAGTTAGGTCTTGCGTCGCGTTTATAAATAAGTACGCTCGTACGAAGTACTGATGTGCTGGTTATATTACTCTTCTGAGATTACAATAGATGTTCTTGCTCATGAATGATACTCCAACGGTCTGCGACTGTCGTCTGTAGGCGTCTAAATAAACGGCCATGGCCCCAATTCCGCGTTCGCTTCTAGCTTTTGTCAATTGAATCGATGATGCCATAATCTGTAAATGTAGAGTTACGTAAATCACTGCCATGTGCTTACTCATAATATTTTTTCTTTGTTGCAGTTGCAAAATGCATATACATGACTGGGTGTCAATGTAAAAATAATAATTGCTAACAAACAGCAGCGGCATAATGGAGAAACTAGTCAACAAAAACCTCATAACGCTCAAATGCGTATTATTTTGTTTTCTCTCAGGTAAGTAACTTTAAAAAGCAATATATGACTATATTTTGGTATGATAATTCGATTATTATCAATTATTATTTATATGATGTTATATCATACTGAACTGCAATCATTATTCATTGGTATATAGGTATGTACCGCAATGCTATTATAGCCGATTAACATTATTATGTTTTTCGACGTAGGTAAGTACGTTCCGTTCCGATTTTTTTGTGATACACTCGTAGATTGAATACGTTTAAAGGTTGTAAGAGTAAAATGTTAATAAACACGGCATCTGAATGAAAATGGTTGTCATGTCGCAGGAATTTGACAAAATCGGAGTTTTAATCAAATCTCAAAAGAATATGATCAAGTCACGGGAGACCAACAATTGCAACTCTATTTTTTTTCATTTACTCATTTGCTTAAACAATCTATTAAACTAATATAACGATTTGTAATTAATAAGAATTTATTATTTATATCAAGCAGCTATTTCCCGATACGACACAAATTGAAATGATATACATAAGTAAGTATATTTTCCATCATTTTACTAAAGTAATTATTGACATTTTTGATAAGAGAAATGTTAAAATCAAGTAATAATTATAATCTTACGTTAATTGATCGTATTGAGGCATTTCATTAAATCTCCGATTTTGTTATATGCGACAAATATTATCCTAATACCAGTTGTGATCTCATGTTTATTAAAATGGACACAGTAATTACGTGGCACGGATCGCGATGTTTTTTCTAAATCCTTTGGATTTTTTTAGATTGTGTCTATGATGTTGAACGAGTTTTTGTCCATTGCTAATATCTCCAATTCAACTTTTTAAAATGCTTATCGAGATTTTTTTTGCATGTTATGATCGAATGTGTTTTCGACAAATATTTGGAGCTTAATTTTTCGATGTCGAATTGTCGTAGAACTTGCCAACAAATTGTTACGATTAAAATATAAGTACCGTTCGTTGAGTTCAACAAAAAATCCAACAAGACGAGCTTGCGAACAGACATGTGGTCTTATGGTGTGTCGCAAGCTTCCTTCTATGGAACACCAGCCGAGTGATTTAGGGACCATTCACCCCGAACTTGCTTCTATATCGACCTATCTGCTCGCAGTTAAGATCACAAAGCCCGCATTATAGATGATTGCGCGCACGCATTTTATATCTTTTATCGGTTATTTTTTGAGATACTCAACTGTATTTGACTTTTATTAGGTATTTACTGTAAAAATAAAGGTTTAAATTTGGAAAAATATGAGTGATTTTAAAATTAATATAACAAAACAACTAATAAATCTACTCTAATATTATAAAGATGTAACTTGTAACTTGTTTATAGGGAGTTATCTTCGGAAATACTGATCCCATCATGAAAATTCTTTCACATATAAGGCTACAATGATGCAGCCAAAAGAATTTTCATGACCCGCGTATGAACACGGGTGATATAGCCTATAAATTTACTCGAGAGAATTCGTCGAAAAACAGCTAGTGTAAGATAAAGGTATCTATAATATAGTAAAAAAGAAACATTTCCTATTTTATCCCTTGTTTCCAGGTGTAGGATGTATATTCCCATTTCTGCCGGTGCATATTCTATCTGTGGGGTTGGACCGTGGTGAAGCACGACTCATATCAGCAGTTGCGCCATGTGTTGCTATCCTCGGTCCAGCTGTGCTCGGATGCCTCATTGACAAGTTAGTTCATTAAACAGTACCTAAAGAAAGTAATGGTGATAATACATATATTGTACCTATAATATCAATTAAGAACAAAAATTTTTATAAAAAAAACAAATTAAATAATATATTTTGATAATCTAAAACCCCTTCATTCCGCCATTAACCAGATAGGACTTTCAATTAATTGAGATTAACGTGTGCTTAAAACTCTTAATTCTATATTTGACTTGTGTTTTGTGATGGGTGTTAGATTATCAGTGGGGCGAGGATCTACTGGAGGCGCTCCAGGGCCAAGTGGATCCGGGAAGCTTCTCCGAGTAGTCACCGCCATCTGCCTTATCTTGAGCGCCTTATTCTACACGTTGCTATTGGCTGTACCGTACACCGAACGACATGAGGTAACTCTATTTACAACCCTGTATTTCGCCGAGATCTTAATCTATAAACTGATCATAAGTTTCTTGCTGCCCTTGAAACCTTTTAAGAATGTTATTTCCTTATTAAAGTAGGTGTACCTACTTAATCTGCTTAGACTGTCAGTTATATACGTTTAGGTAATTTTCTTTTCTTTGATCTACTTGTGTCTTTATTTTCCAAATAGTTTTCCTAAGGTTACAACACTTTTCATGTATCTATGTATATTGATTTGTACTTCACATATACAGGCGCGACGGCCACAAGTTTTGTTTATGTGCGATGCTGAAAACACGTACGTTATGCAAGAAATCTGCAAAGAAGACATGCGCTGTAACAGCTGGTCGGGAGTCAAGGTACAAAAAACATATACAAGTACATTCTAAATTTCATAAAACTATATATACCTACGAACAATTCTAAATTGTCTTTCTGTTTAAATTTACTGATTCCTTAGAAATCTTGAGACGCTCACAGAAAGCAGATAAGGCTGTCGTTAGTCAGGAGACACAGCCACGGCTGCATTTGCAGGTGACATCAGGCACTTATTTGCATTTGCGTTCTTGTGTGTCTTTCCACAAGAAGGAGCAGTGACTCTGCCATGATTGTGATGATGATAAATCATTTCTTTGACAGAAATGTGTTGTCTACTTTTGACAGACTGGCGTATTGGCAGTATCTTCATGCGAGTATGGATGCGCGGACGATAATATGACGTGGATAAAGAAACCCTTTCCAACCACCACGACCACTACAACACTGAGTCCCATGTACTATACTGCCAGTAATTATGTAAGTCTGTTTATATAATTGCTACACTTCAAATTTAAATATGAAAGACCAATAGTGTTATAATAAGAATGTAATATTATTGCAAATGAAAATTTTATAGCGTAATTTTATTTGAGCTTATAGATACAATCAAAGATGGGTAAAATGTAGGATTTATGATTACAATCTTCAATCTCCAATCCTGGGTGAATGTTGTTTTTTTTATTAATTACTTATTTATTCACTACACATGAGTCTTAAATTTATCAAATATTACGATAAATATATTGTGATTCTGGGTGAATGTTACTAAGTGTATTTAGGTTACTAAAAGTATTTTAGCAACATTCGTCCATTTTAATCAAAACTACATTTTGCCTAACTCTGGTTAGAGTTATGTGGTCACGAGTTCACGACTGACCATACATACTATGTAGGTACACTATTTTCACCATTGTTAATGGTGTCATATGTGTGATGTCACGCACTATTAATAGTACTTACTGTCAAGGCTTCACTACCGTATACACTTTCGCTCATTGTTAATAATCTGGATCACAAAGCGGTACTCAGCTATGTAGCGTGCTGACAATTGTTCGATCAATATCGTTAGGTAGAGTCAAATTGTATAAGAAAAATCTTACAGAAAATAATGTTTTAATGGTTGGTTTACAATCTACTAAAACTAGATGTTACTATACGTTTTCGATATTGGGGTCAAGAAGAATAAGGTTTTTTTTTTTGCTATAAAGAGTACCTATATTACTCTACAGCATGCTAATTATATATCTTCACTAAAATCTTCACTACTTCATTAAAATACAACAAAGATACTCAATTGCGGCGAAAATATCGACGTAAGAAAAAACAATCACACTTCCCCGATTAGATTAGTATTGGATGTGTTATATTTTGTCCTTTAGTGTTACACGGCAAACTGTCCTTATTTAGTGTAAATCAAGTGACACAGAGATGGATCCATTAACCTCATTGAGATCGAGTTCTTTCTAAAGTTTTAGACAACGAATATTACATGTGTGACCTACAGAATTAGGACACAGCTTAATTTCACCGATCGATGTTTTTAACAGACGCCGATGTTTAACTTTACGTACGACGACGACGAAGAAGAATATGAAGCGTATCCACCTCATCTATGTTATCAAGGCCAATGTCTGGTGTATATGGCGCATTCCCGTCGTATGCGAGTGCCGATGTCTCTAGAGTCTCCTATACCACCAGAAGATAACACAACTGAAACGGACGCGTGGTGTACTTACCGCGCTAGTAAGTACTCTTAACATCTACCTTATATAAGTTGTAATATTATTTTATGCCATTACTTCGTGGGGTGAATTAGTTAAACATACTGAACAACATTTACTAGGGGTGCAACACTGAATTCACGAAAAAATGATCAGCTGTTTCATACTGTTAACGATTGTAGGTATTACAATTTTTAATGCTTTTACCCTTTTGCATTGCTGTGGATCACACGTTAAAGCGGATTTTTTTTTATTCTTATTTTTTTATTGTAAAGAATTTATAATGAATGTGTGCTGATTTAATAATGCAAATAAATTAATCTATATTATCTATATTGTTCACGTTATTATTTTTGTTTATATTACGTGGTCTATTCTATGAAACTTACCGATAGTGTAAAGTTTTTAGTAAGCACTTTCTATTAGCAATTTGCTATGTACGATGGGCTATGATAGGTACTTTAAGTACCTAACTTTGAAAGATATTTTAGTTCCTCACCAGCATTAGGTATAATCTACATAATAATTTTCGTGTTATCTCAAAATTTATAATTATTTATGTAGGTACCAATTATAAACGTAAGCAAATAATCGGTTAGTAATATATTGACATCGATTTCTTTTTCTTAATAGGAAGTAATTTAAATTAAATAATAGTGTTATGAATTAAATATGCTATCTGTATTTCACCAGGCAGCCCCTCGTGTTTAGTGCCAGCTGCGAAATTACCCGAGTTCAGCGTAATGCAAAGTGAGTGCAAACCAGCTGTGCGCTGTCAAGTGTTGGACCCATACGACGAGCCGGACGGTGTCCTCGCCGACGCCGAGTGTCGGCTCACTATCGGCGACCCCTCGGCAACCTTCACCACCTATTTGATACTGAGGTCAGGCAGAGTATACACATTTCAACTTCTCATCAGAGTTGTTAGATAGGCATGAATTGACTAGATTTTGCTAGGTTTTTCATATGCCAAAGAGCATATCGCACCCCCGGTGCGACACTGAATCATACGGAACTATGTTCCGTATGATTCATCTCATCTGTATCTTCTAAAGTCATTGTTTTGTGAGGTGACAGAGTTTAAAACTCTTCTCCTGAAAAACTAAATTTTTGCATAAGTGACAGTGTCGCACCGGGAGTGCGATATGAAAAAAGTGTCCAGACTTTAGGCAAAATATATCTCATTAAATCTGAAACATTTGAAAAACAATATATTTGACAGCGAGCCGTTCAAACATTGCGCAATAATTTATCTATACTTTTATTATAGAGAGGAAAGACTTGATTGTTTGTTTGTTTACATTGATTAGGCTGCGAAACTAGGTACTGGACCGATTTAAAAATTCTTACACCTACGCGAAGCTACATTAAACGCGGGTGGCGAAGTCGCGGGAAAACAGCTATCTGTGGTTAACCTACTTGTTGCTCAGTTATGTCATTCATCCAGAGTCCGAACATTGGCGTACGACTAAAGACATAGACTGAGAAGATAACATACTAATAAATAAATATAGGTATACTACAATTCACCCCTGCCTTTGGTCGTTTTAGGCCTTGGTTTATAACACTCCAGCTTTCTGAGACTTTGGTTTCTTAATATGTAAGCTCACCTACATCATTCAATTGCCAGGCTTAGTGGATGATTGCCGTTATAACTCCATTTTATGCAAGTCCTGGTTCCATGTCAATCCGGTTCTATGTTTACGCGAGAAGATGACAAATAATTGAACTTCAAATTGCACTGTTCTAGAATGTTGGCTGACATCTGGCCCACGGCTGCACTGGCATTGCTCGGAGCTGCTTGCGTGATAGCGACCAGAGAGACTTCGTTGGGACGTGGCGATGTCGGTAGACAGTTGGCCTTCGGTACTCTAGGCCTAGCTATCTTCCCTCCTCTGGCAGGATTAGCCGCGGAATCCATGGAATCTCCTTTCGTTGTGCCATTCGCTTTGCACGCCGTTTTTATGCTGATTGGTGCTCTGATTTTATTATTTGATAGGTAAGTTATAATAAGCTATTTATTATAACTGGGTATTTTCCGTATGGTTTCCTATCTATCATCATTTACTAGAGGTAGCTTTTTATATGTTCTTGTTTGCAGCTCCACCTACAACTTTAATTTCGTAAATGGAAAAATAAACAGACCAGAAGTAAAGTAAGCCAAACCAAAAGAAAGCGCTTTTGGACACTATTTGTGTGTGAATGTAGATGTTAAGTCTATTGATATTTGTTTCCTGTGTCACATAAGATCTTGCATTACATGAGACATCGCATATACCATTATGTATATCTCAATTGTAGTAACGAGAGCATTAACACTTTATAGATTTCAGAATTAATCACACCCATAAATATGCAAATGTTTTCCATATTAGTTTATGGAAATGAACAATTGTTTCTAAATTGGAATATAAATAAGCTTAAGTACGTACCATGCACATCAGCAACCATAGTATAGGGTTCTACGCGGATTGTGGAGATTTTTATGTGATCGTCATTTTGTTTCTTATCCATGAGCAAGCACAGAAATTCTTAAAAGTTTATTAGGTTTAATCTATAGAAATTATATCTATAAAAATTATGTTAAATTATACCTAATATCTGAGTTATAAACATATCATGGGAGTCATGCCTCTGACGTCATAGCACAAAACAACAAATTACAAATTTCGTTCGAAGGCAACTATGTATGTTGTAACGATTGCGAAGTTTTGGGGGAGTTCGAAAATGATTGCGTGTCAGTAATATGACTATCAACACGCGATGTAATATTAAGTATATTGTACCTAAGGCCTCCCATAAAATGGGAAGATGACACGCCTTCTATTTATACGCACAGCTGAAATGAGATATGTCCTATCTCATAATGAATTTTATATATAAAATACAATTATGATTTATTACAGTGTGATTACTAATAGTCTATTAGATGCTATGTCCAGAAAAAGCATGTTTTGAAAATTTTTATTTCCATAAGTTTACAATGAAACTATCGATCGATAATTTAAGCGTTAAGATCTTTCAGTAAAAAAGTGTTACATAAAGTAATAACTAGAACCGCTGACTACTAATCTCTATGAATATAAGACAGAGATTCCCTTATTAAAAATAACCTAATTGTAAAAAATATCTATTTCTATTACTTTTTCAAATTATAGTACTGTAAAATTGTATGTTCATTTTAAATAAAAGTGGGAAATTGATCACGAGACAATTGAAAGTTACGCAGTAACTTTTGCTGTCAAATCTGTGGACAAATGGTTTAAGTGTGATCTCGGGAGTAATGGCGGGTTTTTGATAACGCAGCTTGTGGTTCGGGTTCCATATTCTGGAAAAAAAATAGTGTTAAATTCGATTTAAATTGCATAATTTTAGTGGAGTTTTATTCGATTTAGTGTAGTGAAAGTGCACTATTGTAGGGAAAGGGAAGGTGAAACTCGATTCGGTTGTTGTGATATCTTGTGTTGCTTCGTTACTCCGCTTGACATGATTTTGGTATTGTTCCACCGATATAACTGAGCTCTTGAAACATTTTGAGCTCGACTTGAGCAAAACTTGATACAAATTATTCACTTGATACTTGGCTATATGCACAAACTGTGCGAAGCCAAATTTTGTATTGCTACATACAATTTGTAGCTCATTTTTATAATCAAAACCAGAGTAACTAGACACAAATGTAAAACTTAACTTCATTTTCTCTTCTGTATAAATAGAATATGTTGCCTTTACATATTCACCGGCATGTAATTGTGTAAACGCAAATAGGCCATGAATTAAAAAAGAAGAATAAGATATTAAATACCATGTGATCAGCACTATTACATAGAGCAACATTTTTTAACACTATTACATAGACAAATTATTTTCATCGAAAATAGAACGGACTTCCATGAAATATATTGACTGTGTGTTTATAATGTATACCATTTAAAATAGTTTTCAGAAAAGTGTCAAATAGCCTATTTTCGTATATCTGAATCTCGAAAACGGTTTCAACGTAATTCATGAAATTTAGTATGCAATGGTTTCGGGGGCGATAGATCTATATTAATATTATAAAGGGGAAAGATTTGGTTGCTTGTTTAATTGCAACCAATGGGCTCCGAATCTACTGGAGCACAGAACATAGAGGAGATGTTCTGTGTACTGGACCTATTTTAAAAATTCTTTCAACTACGGGAAGCTGTTATTTTATCCCGAAAAACAGCAAATAAAGGGATGAAAATGGGAATGGAAGGTTGTTTAAGGAATTAAAACCATACCATAGTAACCATTGCTTACTATTTAATTTGTCATTGTCATTATATCCGTGTCTTTAACATATGGGCTACTTTATATCCCACTAAACTGTTCTCTAGGGACCACGCGAGCGAAGCCTTTGGCAGAAACCTAATAGATGTATAAAGTAGGTTTCATTTTAGAAAACAAAAAATAAATACCGAGCAAAGCTGCTACTGTAATGGTAATACTAGAACATAATTAACGTACTGGTTGTATATAGCCACATGCCGCTGTCGACGCCCGAGTGGTGGTGGCATACAGCGACTGGCGTACTGGCGATGCCTATGAACACCGTGCGGAGGTACGGCGCCGAGACAGCCGCCGTGTTCGCTGTCGTGGCACTACTCGGCGTACTGTGCAGCGGTATCGACGCCTACCTGCCTTGGTGAGATGGATTTTTCATATGAAATTACGAAGCAAGTACATAATAGAATCATGCGTTATTTTGCAATAGAATAATAGGGTAGTTTCTGTAGTAAAATAGGTCACGAAATTGCACAAAATCTAAAATTTACGTTGTAATAAACAGAGATTTTGAGTCATAAAATCGTATGATTATCTTATTGTCCTAAAATTGAAAATCGAGATTTTTTTGTACGTGTGCCTCGTGACTTTAAACAAGACCCGCTATTTTGCGACGTCACTCTGGCGACAGCTGTCAATTTAGTCGTAAGCAACGCCTATTTAATAAACATCAAATTGGCGATGTCCGTAACTAATTTATATCTTTTTACTTCGAAATAGACCGTTAGATGGCACTGTTTATTGTTTGTTTTATCGTCTTAAATATGTCGTCCAACGTTTTGCGGGTATAAAACAAGTTTATATTTTGATGTAATTTCAAGGCAAGAAAATTCGTTTATTTTTTCCGAAAAACTTGTTTTATGGCTTATTTAAATTTTAAAAAAAACACTATCAAGTACTATTTTAAACGTTCTAAAGTTGCAAAATATCATAGTTTCACAATTATGATGAAACAAGTCAAACGAGTAAGTATAGTGATATAGATGAGGAGTACGATGGCACAGTGTTTACGCTCCATCGCCGATGTGGAGATGTTAAAAACTTGGGTCCAGAGCTTACATTGCATAATCTCAGTGTGGGTAATTCGCAGCGGGTTTTATCAAATAGGTCAAGCATGCTTTCACCTAGCCCCTTAGGGCAGGTCCTAGTGGAGAGCCTAGATTTGAAATAACTTTCGCAAGAGTCGGACATATAGAACAAGTGGCCAAATAATTTATTATTTCCATTTATGGGAAATAATCTCTGTGCTTTGGGAGGCATGTTTCAGTTAACATCGATCTGCATTTAACCCGGTAACGATGTATGTATTGTACGCACCTATTGCGCGGTGGATAAGTCGTAACAATATTCAATGTAAGATATACTTAACGGCACTAATAACCGACGTGAGCATTTTAATTTTTTTTTTTATCGTGTTTTTAATTATCTGGATATGAAAAAATACTTAATATCTTAATTAGAATTTCTAAAACAAGGGACAATTAATTGCTAGTCGATTGTTTGGTGCAATAGTACCGATCTGCTATTGACTGCACTGAAAGATAAATTATTTTTCAGCGAGCAAACTATTCTATGTTTTTGTTTATATATATATAATTATTAAGATCAATAATCTTTCCAACAACCTTAAATTGTTCAGATCCTAAGTAGTTGAAGCCCTTCTTTTATGGAAATCTGAAACAACAAACAATCAACCATAGGCAAAACATGCAACATCTTACCGATATTTCGTTTAAAGGATGATGGTCAAAATGGGCGTAAAGGCAACAAAATCAAAATGTATGATAAATAAAAGTTTAATACTAGTACTTTATTTCATACTATGGCAACAACCATGAAATATACCGGAATACGGAGGTGGAAGCCATTGAAGGTTAAAAGTTGTAATAGTATTCACCAATATTTTACGGTAACAAAAATAGTATAAACAAGTGCATTATTTTTATTTACACTGCTAGTTTACTCATGTACCGATATGATATCGGTATCTGGCAGGTAGAAAAATAACAAAAGAAGACGCGAGGCAGGGGGGAGGGAGGTGGGTACGGCAAGGGTTCGACGCGGGCGCACGATAACGCTTGTGCCAATTCAGTCGTTATTTACTCGTTGTTACCTGCGTTCTCTTTTTCGGTTCACCTTTTTTTTTCGACTTCTTGACCTAGCATTGTTTATGGACTACTGTTATTGCCTGTTGATTGGATTGTGTTTGTGTTTAGAACATTTTTTATCTAACTTTTGGTGTTGAATGTGTTATTGCTCAACGTACCCATAAAATGGCAGACCGTCGCTGTCTAATGTGTCCACGATCAGTCTATCGACAAAGACGACATTTGTTGGATGAGAACCTGCCCGAGCGTGAACCGGAATTGGCTACATATATAATGGAACATGCACTGACTCATGTAAGTTTTTAGATAGCTGTTTATTTGTTTGTGTAATATACAATGTTGTCGGAAGGGGGGTATGAAGCCGAAAGGAGGGGAAAGTACCCTTGATAATAAGCAACTCTTTTTCTGCAACTTTTCCCATTCCTACAAAACTACGACTTTACAAAGACCTAGAGTAGACGACATCAGATAATTTCGATCATCTTGCCCCCAGTCTCGGGGAGATATTGGAGTAGTAAGAAATAGGGTTGGCATTACGACGCCAATTTTTTTTTTTTGTATAAAACATAAAAATACGTTTTGACTTATGAAAGGTGATGGAATATAATAGTTACCATTGACCATAATTATACATGATCCACAGTTTCATACCCTCCTTTTTACTAACCTTGTATAGTTGTATGATTTCTTTCCTCTAGCCTTTTGCTTAATCTATTCTAATTATATAATGAATAAACGAATAAATAAAATATTTTAAACTATTATATTTTATACTATTTACACGAAGTATTTTATTGAAATGTTCGAAACACGAGAAAATATACGAAGAATATATTACTGACATCTACATGGCGCTTGAAATATGTACTTTTATAACCTAGTATACTAGATATTTTTTACTTTTATTTTCAGGTGGACTTTGACAACGTACATTCGTTATGCCATAGATGTTGGCAACAGGTGACTAACGCTGTTAGAAGACGTGATGTGCCTGCACCCCAGGCACAAGTACAACCCGCCGCGGGACAACGAACAATACATGTTGAAGAATATGTGAGAGCTCCAAATAGGGCAGACTGCTGCATCTTTAATAACTGTAACAACTCGACCCGATGCAGAATACCTAGAACAATATTAATTCATATGTTATGTGAACATCATTTATATATTCCCGGAGAAGCAAGAGCTTGTCGGGAACATTTAGAAAGCAATGAATGGAATGAATTAATTAACCATTGCAATGTATCGCACGAGTTTAATGCAGACCAGTTTTCTGACGTTTGTACTATATTTCAAGAAGCTGTCCGACGAGGTACTAGATTTGACTTTGATACCATGACACAACTAGACGATAGTGATTTACATTTTTGGGTTGGTATAAGCTACGACCAATTCAATACGATTTTAAATCAAACGCCATCTTTAAGTGAGCGTAGTAATCGTCCTCGAACTGTACTTGGGATATATCTGGCTAAACTTAGAACTGGAGAAACAAATGAGAGGCTAGCTACATTATTTGGAATGTCTCGGCGTACGCTAGAACGGAAATTGACGATAGCAAGGGAATGTTTAATGGCAGAGTTTGTCTGCCTTCATCTTGGTTTTGATCATATAACAAGAGACGACGTTATTAGAAGGAATCAGTTGATACCAAAAGGTATATTTGGAGATGAAAATAACACCAAAGCAATAGTTATCTGCGATGGTACATATATTTATATAGAAAAAAGCAGTAACTTCCTTTTTCAAAGGAAGACTTACAGCTTGCACAAGTTCGAGAACTTACTTAAACCACTTATGGTTGTCTGTAGTGACGGCTATATAATAGATGTCCTAGGTCCATACCCAGCTACTGTGTCTGACGCAACAATAATGCAAGGACTTGTCAATAATGAGGATAGTGCCTGGCTTTGGTTCTTTAACCAAAATGATGTAATTATATTGGATAGAGGATTCAGAGACAGCGTATCAAGTTTACAAGAATGTGGATATGAAGTGCATATTCCTCCAAATAAAGATAGGCATGAAAGGCAATTGACGACCGAACAAGCAAATAAGTCACGTCTAGTGACTATATGTCGTTGGGTAGTAGAAGCAATGAACGGCAAAATAAAACAATGCTTTAAACTGTTACGCCAGACATACGTTAATCGTGCCCTGGTACATATGTTTGATGATTATAAAATCGCTGCGAGTCTTTTGAATGCCTTTCATTCTGTTTCTGAAAATAACAGACATGCCGTCGATATTTTAAACCGAATCCACACCAATGTTCATTCTACAAATCGGCTGTATGAATACGTTGCGATGAAAAATCTGAATCAGCACCGAAGAACATTTACTCGAATTGATGCAAATCCGCCGTTCCTGGAAGAATTTCCTACATTAACCGAAGATGATATTGTATTACTGGCCCCAGGTACTTATCAGCTAAAAGTAGCTAAATCTTATGTTTCTGAGCACATACATAATGGAGTATATAATATAGAAATCTGCAGAGACGACGCCCTGAGCGATCTTTCCGAGTGCAACATATTAGAATGGAACTTGTGGTTACTGCGAGCACGAATTCAATCGAGGCACGTCAGAGCTCGTATATATTATACATATATACTAATTAATAGAGACCAGGAGGGCGGAAATGCAATTGCACTTAATTATTGTTCCTGCCTGACTGGCAGAAGAACCGTTGGTACATGTGCTCATGTCATTTCTTTGATATGGTACCTAGGTATGGGCCGACATGAACCATTTGTTGGCCCTGCTCGTTATCTGTTGGATATAATAATTGATGAATAACTTCTATATCTATATATGTGTAATAAATACAAAAATAACAGTTTTTGTGTTTTATTTCTTTTTGGTCATTTTCAAGCAAACCCGGCGGTATTTGATAGTTATATATATGAAAATACATTTTCAGTACTAAGTCCTAATAATTAAAAGTACTTAAAATTCTGTTGGATTTACGCCCAGATTCCATAGAAATTTGCCCATCATCCTTTCCTCCTATGACAGTCTTTTGGAGAATAAATGACTAACGGTCAATTGCACAAACGTCCGTTAAGATTTAATGACGCCTTTAAGCTCTAATGAATGTATATAATATATATAATAATATTAATGGTTGTTTATGCAACTGGCTGTAAGTTAGTAACACTGCTGTCAAATCCAGAACCATCTATAATATATAAAGTCATTTCATATAAATATTCCAGAGTCATGGCTAATGAGTCCAGTTGCACCAGAATTTATATCTAAAGATCTCTTCTCCTGTTAGGACGGTGATGGAAATGAACGGCACGTTGTTGCACGTCGGTCTGACGATGACGGCGGGCGCCCTGCCGGCGGTGCCAGCGCTCTGGTGGGCGGAAGCGCTCGTCGACTACATAGGACACTCCAACGTGTTCATATCCGCATTCACCTTCTACTGCTTGCGTTACACCGGTATAGAACCATTGTCAAAATTTATTTTACAGAACATTCAAAGTCAAAGTCAAAATAATCTTTATTCAAATAGACTTCTAAGTACTTTTGAATCGTCCAACATTTTTTTCTCTACCGCTCGTTCAGGACGTCTTTTGGCTGATTTTGGCATTAAATAGAGAGCGTACCTTATGGAGAACAGTAGGCAGTACGTAAGAGAACTTTGCAAGCATATGTGATAGCGATAATGTTGAACCCAGACAATTTGAAAACCCCAATCTTATAATCATACACTAAAGCTCTTTAATAAATTTCTAAAGCACTGTTTTATTTTCTTTTTTGGAATATTCAAAGAAGCATTAAAACTTGTCTTGGTGTATTACCAACTTCTAAGTTCTATTAATGCATGGTTAAATACGCTAATTATATGTTCTTTTACGCGCTGCTATTTTAATGAGGACAGAAAGCTCTCTCCATTCTGTACGTAACTTAAAGCCCCTACTATATTTTGTTATAGGTTTGGCTTACACCACGGATTACACCTGGATAATAGTGTGTGAAATTCTGGAGGTGTTCACAATGAGTCTTGTATGGGTAACCGCCGTGTTGTATTTTAGACATCTGGTTCCTCGCAAGTACACTACTATGGGACAAGCTTTACCTGTTATAGCACATTTCTGTATTGGTGAGTTAAGAGACAATTTTTGGGAAGATCACAAGATCCCTTTAATGTACAAACATTAAAGGGGTTTTATGTATAATTGTAACATTTTTTATTTTTTAATATATAATCTTTGAAGATTAATCATAAAAGATTAAATAATCAAAGATTGTAATGAAAATTGACGTCATAGTCTAATTCATTTTTCAATTGCATATCTGTCTATAATATAAAACATTTAAGCCATAAAACATTAAAAATATAACATTAAAGGCAGTTGATCTCAGTAAAATATGTTTCGCTTTTAGATTTGCGAATCGAAGGCATAGTTTTAGACATTTACAAGTGTACATTAACATACAACTAAGAATCGATATTACCATTCACATCAGTTGTATCATACAATTGGTGTGGTTCACTGATGTAAAGTCAACCGCAAGTGCAGGTTATACAAAATTTTCAAATTTCTCGATTCGATTTAAAACCTTAATACATTGAAGGAAGATGTAGATGTCAAAATTTTGACATATTGTGGTAACCTGACGTGAAACCGTGTGTACCTGAGCAAAGAGATAAAAAGCGCGGCAAATGTTTGCCAATCAGAATAATACTAGTATCACGCCATAGGACGATCAACCATTATCCACGCGCCTGACCCTGTTGACTGTTGAGTGAGATCTACTAATTTCGCAAACGAAGATTCAGCATACGCCATATCATTTATAATAAATATCAAAATATCCGATACATATCATGTATATGAAAAGCTGCGATTTTTGAGCTTGTTAATTTTCTAACTGAGATTCAATAACTAATTAAACTAACAAAAATTATATAAATATGAATTGATATATATCAATAGATATATAAGAAGATATATATTAGTTGATATTTATCAGCGAACCCTGATTTTAACTTAACAGCCTTTTTACCGAACGGAACTGACTTTAACATTTTATTGACCCCGATGAAGACCGACTAAAGTGGGGCTCTTTAACTGCAATAGACGGGGGTCTAGTGCTGTTGGCCCTCCCGACACCCCACATGTGTTAATTCGCATTCGGGTTCGGATTGTTACAGAATCGCCCTGGTGCAGACATGTTTTTCTTTTTGTATAAAAATACAAAACCAAACTGATTGATTATACGTGTCTTCATTCATTATTTTATTCCTATGTCATTACGAAACTCACTTCACTTATGCCACAAAACGTTATTGCCGTCAAAGTGGATTCGGACACCTGAGTGAATTTTTGGATTTTAACAGAAACGCAGGGCAGAACTTAGAGAATCAAACACATAAGTTGCCGTTTCCGCAAGAAATTTTGAAAATTAACTTTATTTTTAGATTTTAATTTATTATATGAATGATACTTTTTTTATATGTATTTCATATAAAATCGAAATAAAAAAACAGTTATCCACACCCCTATTTGTTCGTTAGGTCGTTGCATCGGTGCGATAGTGAGCGGCATGGTGTCGTTGTCGCAGCCGCTAGAGTCCGCGCGCGAGGTGTACCGCGCGCTAGGCGTGGCCTCGCTGGCCGCCGCCGCGGTGTACCTCGCGCTCTACCACCTGCTACTGGCGCCGCGCTGTGCCGCGAGACCGGCGCCTCCCCCACAACATCTACTACAAGGTAATTATAATAATTTATTGTCTCTAAACATTTACATTTTCAGTACGTAGGATCAAGCGCTTGTTCCATTGGATCTCGCCCTTCCTTATAAAAAAGTATTAACAAAAGACAATACAACTAAACGTTAAGTACCTTAAAAAGTATAGTATATTAAAAATGGTTGAAAAATTTAAAAGCGCTTTTAGTAAGTATGTATGTGTTTGTGCGTGTGTGAGTTTAGTTAGCACACTTATATACCTACAGGCCGTCTCGTACTTATCTATCGTAATATATTAAAACTTAATATATGATGAGTAGCTCGGTGGCGTAGTGGTTAAACACCGCGGCCCGAGACAGTATCATAACTTAGCTTAGCTGAAATAGGTAATGGAGAAAATACGCTATCTGCTAGTTTCTATCACACTACGGTAGTACCAGAAGGTTAGTGATAAATTTTTGTATGAAACTTTGCATGTAGGCACTTGATAAGAAATAATTTATAACTATTCGTTTAAGCGTTTTTGATGGGGATGAAATGCTTAGGTTTTGACTGACAAATCCCTATAGAATATTGAAAGTCTTAAACTTTATATACCTAACTCGGAAAACGATAAAAACAGATCATTTTATAAGATTAAAAAAGAATAGGTCTAGCTGAGTTAGGTGGTTGCAGCACCTACAGGTGTATTAAATGCTTCGGGTGTGGCAGTAGCGTGCGTTGTAGTACTTGTGATTGTAGGAGGCGGCATTGCTATACTACTATTACTGCTTTGTGTTAACTTTATATGCGTTATTTTACGCCATTTAGCTTATTATTGTTTAAATTAAATGTTATTTCTATCTTAAGCTTGCACAGTGGATGGCCAGCTTAATGGCAAAGGTATGTTATGTCATATAGAAATGTATTTAAAAGAGTAGCGAATAAATTTGTATGGTATCGATATTTTTTTTTTCACATAAAACTTCTATTTAAAAAACTTAACTAATATTTTTACATGTGCTAGATAAAACTAACTTTAACGTCAACGTAATAGTTTCGCTTGGCTGTTCCTCCGTTGTCGCACAGCTTATGCGCTTGCCTCGTGGTTAAGGGTTTGGAATTTAAGAAACTGTACAATGCGGAACGTCAGAAGTGACAAATACAATAATATGATATAATAGCACACATCCGCGCAGGTACTAAGGCATACTTCTGTGATACTCTCGAAGGATCTTTTATCAGATGCACGCCGACCCTAAAATAACAAGAACTATTTAGACTGATTACTATTGAATTCAGCGATGTATTGTTGAGTTAGCATTACTTATCTATCATTCATTATACACATAAATGGCTAAGCAAGTAGCCAAATAAAAGACTTCCATTTCTTGTAATTTTTTTTAGTAATTGCCCTATCCACACTTTTTAACAATCTATGTTGATCATTACATGTTGTGGTTCCGCTAGATACCATAGTAATGCCTCGACTCTCAAACTTGGATGTTATGCTAGCACGATGGTTTTTCGAAATCTATTCGTACTACTTAATTATATTTAAATAAAAACAAAATTATCGCAGTTAAAAAATTTGCATAGGCAACTGAAAACCTCGATATCCTAGAGGTCGAAGGACTCCCTCTGCTTGGCAGAAGACACAGGTTCGAATCCTGCCTGAAGCATTATTTAAACTTTAAAATAATTTGTAACTACCTATACTTACTCCAGATTGATGATTGCAGGACTGAACGCTAACGGTGGTTCAAATGGAACATATTCTCCGATGCGGGTATACCATGAAGAACGTTCTAGAAAAGGGCATTTCCGCTATTAAATGTCATTTAACTCTGCTTTAACCTTAAAATTATGGTATATTAATTAGCTTATTCTTTTGTCACTAGTTATAAGATTTTATTTAAGTACAGAATTGTGATAAAATAAGTGCTTTTTACTAATGTCTCAGTAAATTTGTATTTATGGTCATTCTACATTTGATACCTAATTTGTTCACATTTTTGTAACATGTTGTTTTTTTATTAAATTATGAACCTATACATACGACTAGTTGTTTTATTTTCACGAAGCCGCAGCTACACATTGGCCTTATTTGCACCAAAGTTATTGCAGCCAATAAGTCAATGAATGGATCAATCTTATGTTGAGCATTCCCTTATAGATAGAATTGGTGTTCTCGCGCACCGCAGACAAGAAAGGGGACAAGCGTGCTCGCTGGCAAATCCAGGCTCGGATCTAAGAGGGAGCAGTGCCGGGGGCGCCAAAATCATGATAATATAATGTCAATAAAAAAATTATTCATAGACAGGCATCTTTTCAAGATACCTAAATGAAATCATGTATTTGCAATAGGGGGGAGGGGGAAGGGGGAAGGGCGCAATAATGTAGAGCCGGGCCTGGGAAAATTTGCATGCCTGCTAGATGTCGTGTCTGCTAGTGTATGTAGGTTTGTCACAGACTAGCAAACTTACCCGTCGCAGGCAGTGAGATCTTATTTTATCTGCGCGTCCTTGTATGACTTGAATTCAAACAAACTATGGTAAGTTTAAACGAAAAACGAAATACTATATTTTATATTTCTTCTAGTAGTGATAAAGGGTTCTATCGGTTGTGACAAAAATTTAAATAATTCTTTATCTAGCGTAAATAGATAGTTGTACAAATCTCCTGGTTAAATTTTTTTTAATTATATAAATATACTGTTAAGGCCATATTAAAAAATTTTAAATCATTATTTGCAGCATTTTTTTCTTTTCGTCATAAAGTGTTAATGCAGCGCCACTAAGTGCTATTTTTCTGCATTTAGTAAGCATTGTAATGTGCACTCACGAGAACCAAATTAAATTAATAAACATAACTAGTACTAGTTTAAGATATCATTACATGTGATCTTTAAATTCATAATAAAAAATGTTATATAAGAGTCACAAATATGAATAAAACACCTTGTTTTATTAAATACAGTATGTGTTTAATCTATTTCTTTTCCTTTTGTTAACCATACATCATTCAATAAAGATCACAATTTTCTCGCAACTAATTCAATAGTCGTATTACTTATAGCACGAAAATAATAACGTATAAATATGAACTATGCAGATAAAACAGACGCGAGTGAGCCATACCCTATATTTACACAATATTTTTTGTTTAAGCTTACAGATAACTAGATTTGTAAAGTTACCGTCACATTAATTGTCAAAAAAATCGAAGCAAAACTTAATAACTATTTCTATTTAACAATAGCTAGTAATGTTAGGTCAAATAGTTAAAATAACACAAATAGCCTATCATTATCGTAAAATGAAAAAGATTTAGAGTCTCTAAGTATTTCGAGTTTTATAAGTGTTTTTTTTTTTTGCTATCTGTTCTACCATTTTCATTTAATTTCAAATTCTAGCTCAAATATACTGGAAGAAACACAAAATTTTAATATGCTGAGAATACTACGACTTATTCTGCTTCATCATTCTATTTTAGTTTGTTAAAGATTTTTTATTTTACCATAGATTACTACTACTTACTATCGCTTTATATTACTTTCATACTCAATTCTATGTCCTGTGAATATGCTGCTGTTTCTGTTATATACATTCCAATGAAATCTTTTTTTTTATTTAAAAAGAAAGTACGATATTTGACGGTGACTTTACAATTCTACGATGTCTTTACATTTACGACCACTGTACTTATAATAAGTAATATGTATGAACTCTAATAAACGTAAAGTCAATTAAAAAACGCATACACAAGTATCCGAAATGTGTTTTACATGCAACGCAGCATCATTTACTTCCAATAATGGGTAATTTTGAAATTGAAACAATAATACAAAAAATAAACAAACACTTTAACAAAATCAAGTCTTTACATGAAATTAACAAAATATTATAGACCTTGCACACACGATAACAATGACAAATATGCATGACAACAATGCATAATGGGCACTACTGCGACATATAAGCAGTAATTTTACAATATAATTGCCCTATTAGCCCATGAGACGTGTGCGTACAACAAACAGACATCGAATCGAAATCTAACTTACTTATATATATATTTTATTTTACAACATAATGTATGTCATGAAAAAAGATAATGATATAGCAACATTCAATAAAATTATATTGTAGATTTACGGCAATATCTCTTAACCTTAATGTCGTGAGAATTTAAAATATACAATTTTTAATTCGCTAATACGACAGGTTGAGTAACCATGTCCAAGAAATTAGTATATATTTATTGTACTATATTTTGTAAGTTTTCATAATTGTTTCTAAAGGACAATCAGAAGCACAAGCAAACAATAACTAAGAAGTTTTTAGAAATTTTAATATTGCAAAATGTTTGAACAAGCAATGAGCGCATCATAGAAATATATTTTTCGTCAGAATATGCAAAACGTCAAATTGAGTTTAGGATCCTATTTTAGATCCTCATTCAAAAGCTATCAAAAACTTTCGTATTCTAAAATCATAATTGTTTGCGAAAATTCAATAAGAAAAGAAAGAGGTACAGCAGATTGCTTGAAATAACAAAGAACACAAGTTTAACGTACTGAAAGTTTGAAATCGATTGTGGAATTATTATATACGATAATTTTTGCATCCACAGTGCTATGTTGATATTTTTCTTATAGAAAAATCCGTTAAGAGAATATCACTAGTCCCAGGTACTGTTAGGGTTCGAATACCATCTTGAGCACATGGGACTAGTACACACAGCACATGGTATTTTTAAACTATTTCATTATAGCATAAATAATGATTTTGAAAATTTGGCATTTTGTCAACTTAATGTATTTTTACCACTGTATTGAGGTAATTTTTTCCTTCTCTCATCAAACCTTATCTAATTTTACATATTCTCAATAATTCCACGTCTCGTCTTGATTAAGATTATGCCATTCACTTGAACTTGCAGAATCTAAAAAATATGTTTCTTTACGATAATGAAACAGATATAAAGTGGTAAAATTCTAAAACACATGTTAAGATAAATTGTACAGACAGATTCAAACTTTATGAATATTCGGAAGTTAGCCGCAAAACCATGCGCAGAACACGATTTAAGGTGTCAGCGGGACGTACAGGAGCGCGACGAAGGAGCCCCACCCCCCACGCTTCACACGCGCACCCGCAGTTGCCGCTTGAACTTGTAAGAGTAGTGTTAGCCACGTCTCAACACTACACACACGCGCGCGCTGCTTAGAAAGTACAGTCGAGAAAAAAATATTGTTGTTTCTTAATTACGTTTTTGTTATTTTTTTGTATTGTTAAGTTTTATTGTTATTCTCGTTACGTTTTTCACTTTGTTATTTGTTGTTGTATTGGTGAACAACCATGCCACGTGGGCGTTTTAACGTTCTACGTCGTCAAGCAAGAAAAATGGTATATACCGTAATGCAGTTTATGAAAAAGGAAAGTGAAGAAGGTGTTCAAGTTCCGCTGAAACCACAAAAAGTGATACATATGTACCAAATTTTAATTCAATAAATAACATGAAAATGTAGTAACAGTTTTGTTTTTTTTTGACTGTGCACTCAAGTGTATAAAATGGATACGGGTAAAGCATCAAAACATGTATCTGGAACTCTATGATCCCGTGATAAGTTTTTGATACTTTTTTGATGCTACGTCCATATCTATGTTTATTTACTTGACTGTACCTGCGCGCATCTGCACTTGCGGCTAAGTTCAGAGAAGTCATAAAGTTTGAATCTGTCTGTATTAAGTATGCGTTTTTCACCCAAAACAATCAAAATTCTCGTACTCAGCAATAACAGAGTAACCAAAAAGTAATGTCTGTGTATACAAATGTGAAGTAACGCATAATATAAGCAATTTATCACAATACCAAATAAAAAATATAATTCAAAATGAACAAATTACTATTATTTATAGCTTGCCTGTGTAAAATGCCTTCCATATCTTTTTTCTTCATTTTGTTTTATCTATTAATACCCCAGAATTAATTACATAAATGTTAACAGTTTTTAAAGTTTATATTTTCACTGACATATAATATTTAAACTTATATCTGTTAACTAATCTAAATACAACATATAAACTCTCACACTATTTTTATACACTTTATACTACATCCATTTCTTTATCAGGAAGAATGTTCTCAATTTCATCTACATTGTCATCTTTAAGAAGATTCTCGATCATTTCCTCACTCATTTCTGGATCTGGCAATTTCTCCTCTTCTTTTAATATTTTATCAATCATACCTTCAGTCATTTCAGAATCCTGCATTTTATCCTCAACTTTTATAGTACTCAAACTTTCCGATATCTTTTTTTCTATCTCCTTCAGTGGTTCTTCTGGAATTGCTTTTTTATTTGTATCATTATCAATAGTTTTTTCAATTGTAGGCTCCTTCTGTTTAGTATCAGTATTCACCAACTTCATTTGGCAATCTTTCTGTTCCAAATCATCATCTCTATGTGGCTTTTCATCTTTCTGTTCTTGATCAAGTTCAGTATTAGTTATTGTATTATCTTTCTCTGGCGAACCTTGTCTGTGGTTACTCTTTTCTAAACTATTACTTTCTATTGGACTATTCGATTCACGATTTACTACTTCTTTGCCTGCTTTTTCATCATTAGCATCACCAATTTTGTATCCATTTTCTATCTCTTTTGAGATATTTTCATTGTTAGAAGAATTACTATTATTATCATCACCGTCAATGGAATTTGCTACGTCTTTTCTTGTATTCAAGTAATTATCATCTTTATTTTCGATACTAGTATTGTGATCGCTACTACCAACACCTGTCAGATCTACTTCTTGAGTTTCGTTACTTTCATTGATAGTAGATTCCGTGGAATTTTCATCTATGAAAATAGGATCATCATTCAAATCAGGCAATATTTCAACGTCGTCATCGTCATCACTCACAGTACCACCAGTCTTTTTCTGCACATATTGTTTGAGTTCTTTATTTAAATTTTCACGAATTTCGTTAAACCTATTAGACGAGGTGTTTAGTACTCTTTCCAATGTTCTATGTAAACTGCGCATTTCTTCAAGAGATCTTTGTCGAAGAAACAATGTAGTGGTCTGTTTTTTTAATTTTTCCAGCCTTCCCAATGAATATTCTAAGGAATCAATAGCTTCTAATAAATTGAATCTATACCATTCTACAGACACACTCATATCACACTCTTTCACTGACGTGGTTGATCTGTTCGTACTGTTCAAGGATTTCCTTAATATACTTGCCTTTGCACGCGTTCGATTACTACTATTAGAATGCACTATTGGTTTTGGAGTCGAGCTTGGAACTGCGCTTAATTTTGCCGCGTATGTAGCACCTTTAGGAGCTATAGCTTTCCCAGTTGTTTCTGTAACTGCCACAATTGTTGCTGAATATCCTCCCGGCATACTAGGGTTTGAATTGATTGCAAAAATTCGTCCATCAGGTAAACGGTACATTTTATTAGATGATAGAGTTTGAGGATCAACTCGGAATTTTAAACCTCCTGTCTGAGTGTTAACAGATACATCCTCTTCAGTCATCTGTATAATATTGTCTGAAGATACATCTGGTAAGTTATTTGCTATACGTGTATAATTAGGGGTAGACTTTGATGTATTGTTTTGCTGTAGCGATGGTATTTGCTTAACGGCAGGAGCAGGGGTGATACATTGGACATCATCATCAGTATTGTCTTCTGTTACCTATAAAAATTAATAAAGCACCATTTAAAATTTCTATTTAAGTTACTAATATGCATTTGCTTAATAACTGATTACATTTTTACATTACCTCGCACAATGGTTCTAGAGGAAAATCTGGTGTGCAAACAACATCATCGTCCTGATTATTACTGTTGTTAGACATTGCCACTACAGCTGCCATATCCAAACCCTAAAATACATAACAATTATACAAGTGTAAGAAATATTTAATATTGATGTGAAGGTGGTGCTGCTATGTTGCATTTTAAATAAAAAGAGAGCCCATATTGTAGGTTAGTATTTTTTATTACAGAGCATAAAAATCAAAAGAGATCACCATCAATCACTTTTAATTTAAGTTAACCAAAGAAAAAAATCATATACAAGATAAACAAACCTGAGTCAAACTCTCCAAAGATAGGTTTATGTTATCGTTAACAACCATATTGTTGAAAGAATTATGGCTATAAGTATTATTACTTGAGAAACCATTGTATGACGTTGGTACAATTGGAATAGGCATTATGGGTGGTGGTTTTGGCCGTATGCGTGTATATGTATTCTGACCTATAAAGGGGTTTGGTTTTTTGTCTTGTTGTATTCTTACAGGTGCCATCATCGGCATCTGAAAAGACGTTATAAATTTAACTATAATAATCATTTATCTTATAGTGAATGCTAAATTAATCAAATATAATAATGATCATAATAACGCATATTTAATTATGTATGCCAGAATACTTGAACGGCCTATGGCCACCACTAGGGCCGTGCGTATGAGAGGTAGATCCGATAGTAAAAGAAGTATGAAATTATGAGGTGTCAACACAAACATGAGGGCACAAACCAGGAAAACGTCTGTAATATATGGCATTTCTACACTGGAAATTCATTATTCCAGACACAATAAAGAATAGTCCAAAGTATTTCTATAGCTAAGATTAAAATTTAAGAAGTTGGTGTCGTGGACGTGACTGCTGGGATCAGCATAATGAGCTCAAACAACAATATGACCGACAATATTTTTATTATATAGCAAGCTAAACATAGTTTTACATAGTTTGTAAACTGATACATTTCTCCGAATTCCAAGCCCACGCTACGGTAAGTGCACGTAAACGAATAATAACAACAATATATGGAATAGATTTTGTAACTGTGGCACTGCCTCTGATCACTTACACCAACTAAAATTTTCGTAATTATACATTTTCGATAAGTTGTACAGAGTCCAGCAACGCTAAATCATTGTCATGTGTATTGAAAAATATGTAAAATACTTTCCTTACCCTTATTTTCTTCAATGGAGGCATGGTGACTGGAGTAATTATCTTTTGACACTGTGCTAGTGCTACAGGATTTTTCATAAATATAGGTTTATTTTTGACTGGACTAGCAGGTCTCTTTTGTGGTTTTTTTTCTTTAGATTCATCAATATTAATTGAAGCAAATTTTTTAACCTGTTGGTAAATAAGTAATCATATAATTAAGTAAATAAGACAATCTATAGCCAGTCATGGACGGATATCATGGATACTTAGCAGATTGAAAGTCATTAAAGATGGTATCTCATAGATTCATTAGCTTTAACTGGAAATGGTACTGGACTGTTATCTATTGATGATTTTATAACCTAATAACGTAAAAATTAAATTAAGTTAACTCTTTATTGAAACTTTTTACAAGACATTGTTTCACAAAAAGCCATACATTTTAACCTGACCTGCGTTTTTTGCAATTTTATGTCTAACGGAACTCCACTACGATTCTAAAAATGTCGCTGTGACTAGTAAAATCATTTTTATTTTGCAAGAAGACATTTACCTGTATTGTAGCAGGAATTCGTGGTATAATAGCGCTTGTTGCCTTCTTAGCAGAGTCAGTTTCTTTTTTAATGCTCTTTACATCCACTTTTTCTTTGCGTCTTGCCTTATTTCTACAGCATTCTGAATGATCTATTGAACAATGCTTCTGATATGTTTCTTTTAACTGTGGATCTTGAGTGTTATGTGTTATTCTACAACAAACAACAAAAAATATAGGTTTTGAAATTTGAATGAATACACTTATTATTATTAGATCACATACAGAGTAAATTTGCAATCAGAGAATAAACTATTTGTTGCTGTTTAGTAGCGTCAGATCAATATCTGATTACTATACTAATATATGCCACAATTTAATTATATGGTTGATCCATCGACTGAACTATGACATACAAATATACCCAGTATTATAGTTACATCTTTATGACTAAAGAACTTACTGTATTACTTGTTATAACAAAAGGCATACAACCATCATACCGTGGGACCGGGGCGTAATGAGTTAACCAGGCATATAACTCATTACGCCCAGCAATGATAGAAAGAATGGGAAATTTTAAAAATGTTTAATGAGAAATTTAAATTAGGTAATAAACCAAACCAAAGGGGATCGAAACATGGAGCAATCATACATTGTAAATGCAGACGACATTAGAAAACAAAAACAAGCCGACTAGATAAGACCCAGACCTAGCGTGAAATGAAGACCGCAGAAAAAAATATGGCAATAATTTACATTTTAAACCAGTTTTTACTTAACGCGATAATTTACTATGTGAATGTTTTGGGAAAAGCATTTTAAAACTTTCATATTATTTTTGTTCAAAAAGTAAATAAAAGAAAATCTTTTTATTCATTAATTTAAATTGACCCGCGAAAACATCAGTCACGTAACATTTTGAGTGATGTCACATTTTAACAAACATTAGTAGTGGTTGCACTCGCACCACACTGACACCACGTAAGGATTAAAAGTAATAAATAAGCTTTAACATGCATTTAGATTATCAGTACATAATCTTAGTAGCTCGGTGGCGTAGTGGATAAGCGCCGCGGACCGCGACCGTAGTCGTTAAGCAACTTTCGCAAGGGTCGGTCACGGGATGGGTGACCAAAAAAATTATTATCTCGAGCTACTCCGTGCTTCGGAAGGCACGTTAAGCCGTTGGTCCCGGCTGCATTTGCAGTCGTTAATACCCTCCAATCCGCATTGGGCCAGCGTGGAGGGTCATGGCCCATCCTCCTTAACCATCCATAAGGAAGGCCTGAGCCCCTGCAGTGGGGACGTAAAAGGGCTGATGATGAATCTTAAATATACGAAACAAAATCGCTAAATACTGCAATTTTACTTTTTTTTTACTCATAGTAACACCAGATGTAGTCAAGATCAATTCATAGAATAATTATCTCTGATTTTAAAGTAAATAAATAGTTTAACTATTTTGTTTGTGAATTGGAGTGTTGTTAAAGTGAGAAAATGCCAATATTAAAAAAGATTTACCAGACAAAATACAAAAAAAAGGTAAGTTACTTTCTTTGATATAAAGCAATATTTGGTAACGAGTAATTTTTATTGAATTTTGTCAGTTTTGACCCCAAAAATGCTTGTTTATGATAAAATGTGTGTTGTGAGTAAACAAATAGTTAATAATGGAGCGATGACCTGAATTTTATCATAGCTATGGAGTATAGTTTTTTTAAATACCTGTTAATATTCAGGTATGTCTTGACCGTCACAGTGTATCTAAATAGCAAAATATTTGTTTTTGTACCCATAAATGTGGTTGGAATAAAACTAAAGAACTGTCTCACTCGTAGGGTCAATGACTTCCAACGTCCCAATCAAGTCAGTTTCGGAAGAGGCTGTAGAACCGAAGACCATATTGGGTGAGACGTTGGAGAACCTAAACACCATGCTGGATCTTAACATGAACACGGATGAGACGAAAATCATCAATTATCAAGACGAAAGTCTTCTACCTGTGTATGTCATCATTTACGGAAGCGAAACGTAATCGTTTACAGTGGGTCTCATAAGAAGACTGTAAGTCACCCAGTGGGCACTGGAGAGGGCAATGCTCGGTGTTTGTCTACATGATCTTATTGGGAATGAAGAGATCTATAGGAGAACCAATGATATTGACATTGCTACAAACATTACTCAGCTGAAGTGGCAATGGGCGGAACACTAGAATGACGACCAAGCAGCAGACGACGCTCAATGAAGAGGCCCACCACCAGGTGGACCGGCAATCTTATAAATATTGCAGGAAGCCGCTGGATGCTAGTCAAGCAAGACCGACCGTGGATACCTATGCTCAGCAGTGAGCGTCATACGGCTGTTTGAATTCGAAATGTTTCGAAAGGAGATGAAGCAAAACAATTTATAAGTGATTGCAGTGATCCCAGTGATGCATTAATACATAATAATGTCAGTAATAGTTAAGATTCTAACGGACTCAAATATCCATACCAATTATTACCGAATTATTCATGAATTTAATGGAAACGTCAATGTTTTCATGCCAGGATAATATTTAAACCACTTCATAACAGATAACGTATATTTTGTGTATAAAAATACATGCGCTTTTCTTTATTTGCTAATTTTCTCGAACGTCCCAATTTTTAATAATTAATATGATTACATTTGATAAATTCTGAATTCACACAGTGGCTCGGATTGCGAAAGGTCATGGGTTCGAGTCCCATCTTAGTGTATCCCTGGCACTCTGAGATGGGACTCGAACATGTATTATTAAAGAATTTTTATTATGAATATTTATTGGTATGGCAGGTATGGTGCTGATTGTAAAATTGATCAAATATAATAATTAGAACAAATTGTCATCTTTATCGAAAGTTTAAATATTTGTAAAAATATTTGTTTCAGCTGTAGGGGTAGATTGCCATTGATGAAGATATGCTCTGTAGAGGCGAAAAAGTTACAAATGCTTGAAAAATTCGTCAATCCTGTTAGATCCTGGGTAACTCAGTACTTAGAGGAGTCGCCCGATTCGATTCGATTCGAGTCCCATCTCAAAGGGCCAGTGACAAAGTGGATATTTTAAGCATTTTTCATTAGGAATACCTATTTTTTTTTACTGAAAAACAAATCTATATATTAACTAATTAATGCCATTTCTCCTTCTTTTGTATGGGCCAGCTATATGAGAGAATATGATAATTTAATTGACTTACTTATTTTTGAGGTCACAATATCTCAGTAAAGCCCAACATAATGCACGAAGATCCCATAAACAGTTCGATTTACACTTGAAACACTTCCAATCATCTGTATTTTCGATTTCCTTTATTTTAGGCATGCCCAAATTGCGTTTAATACATTTCTGAAAACAATATTTATATAGAAGTATACAAAAGTCAGCAAGAATATGCTTTGTTATTTTAGCATACATATGTATTAAAGATATGTTGAATATTTGTTTGGTATTCAGTATCTTTTTCACTATTTGTATTATTCAGTTTTGGTGCTAAATATATTCAGTTCAAATATTTCTATTTTCTTGATTTGTGTAATCAATATAGAACAAAAAGGCAAAACTTAAAAGGTTTATGTTATGTATATGTATTTAAATCTCTAAGCAAAATCAAGCAGTCTTAGGTACCAAAATAGTTAGATTTCATGCGAATGGCCATTAAAAATTCTTTATGCACATTTACTTGTTGGCAGTGTTCCTCAAAATAATGAGTAAATATCAACAAGAATAATATTTGTATTACATGTAAAAAAATCTGACTTCTATACTACAAACATTCATTTTACTCACTTCAATAGAATTCGAGATATTTCTAATCATAGCACAGTAATTACAGAAATGGGTAGGAATTTGAAGTTTATAAATACACAAAAAAAATTAGGCACATCAAATATCGGAAATATCTTGAATTCTGTTGAAGTGACTGAAATAAAAGTTCATAATATAGAAGTCACTATTTTTTGTCATGTAATTCAAACTAATACTAATCATATATCCAGTCAGCTCACTAAGATATTTCTGAATTTGCAGTATTACTATTTGTCACAATTTATTGATATAAATTTTTGACCTTCAAATTAGTGTTCACTGATAGTTATATATATCTTGATATATAGCAATTGATGACTTCAATATATGTATATCAATTGATATTTATAATATTTATTGTTAATCTGAATATTGAGTATTCAGTCTCAGCTAGAAAATTAACCAACCCAATGTGAACATTGGCCCAAAATAGCAATCTTACTTACTAGAAACATCAGATACTATATATTACTGGAAATCTTCGCTCGCATACTACTTTGTAATAATTTCATAATAAATAGACAAATATTAAATAACTCACTCAATTTTTGTTTTACTCTTTTGATTTAAAAGATCAAATATTGAATAAAGCCACTGGTAACTCAAAATCCACAGCTTTTCATATGCATGATATATATCTGATAAATATCAGATTTTTGCAAACTCTGCTTCAAATTCAGTGGTGCATTTGCTATCTTAACAAATACTGTTGACACCACCAAGACACATCTCATTGTTTTTAAGACATTTAGTACATTGGTCTCCAATTTTATATACTCATTATACTGAATAACTTATGTCAAGGCAAATTTCCATAACTCCCATAGTTCAACTAAGTTCTGAAGTCATTCATTAGATACTCCAGACCTTCAATTTATAGTATCAAAATAATGGGCTTACCATGCTTAAAATTTTGTAAACAAAGCATTTTTATAACTTTAATTGTTTTTGATACTTTTCCCTTTATATGGGCATTAAAATCTATCTCTGTGCTAACTGCCAAATATATATAAACACTAGTGGACGCCCGCGACTTCGTCCGCGTGGAAGTCGGTATCCCGTGGGAGTGAGAAGTTTTCCCAGTAAAAAGTACCCTATGTGTTATTCTGATGTATAACCTATATTGCTGTAAAGTTTTATCCAAATCCGTCCAGTAGTTTTTTCGTGAAAGAGTAACAAACATCCATACATCCATACTTACAAACTTTCGCCTTTATAATATTAATAGGATATATATTATTCATTCTATAAGGTATCATTTTGAAATAAATTGATAGCCAATATTTATACCTTGACTATATATTTTATTATTAAAAAAAATAGAACTTTGAATGAAATAGACTAGTACAAAATTACAAAGGTACTTACTGCACAAAACACATGAGGACAATCTGAACAGCAATATACTTGCCCACCTTGACCACACCAGCGACAATATAATTCAGAACCATCGTCACCTTTTTCAAATTCACCACTGTTATAAAACGTATGACATGTGTGACATACCAACGTTCGGAGCATAGGGTGAGAACGCATACGAGATTCATTACGAGTTGATGATCCTAAATGACGATCACAAGCAGTGCAGTGCAACTTGTAAGAATTAATTGTATTCAGGTCTGGAAGAAAGATTTATGTTTAATTAATATCCTTTACGAATTCATGGTCGTTTCAAATTTGCAATTATTTTATCACCTTTAAATTTTTCTTTATAGTAACTCCTTTCAACATCACCAATATCATCTTCGAAGTCTTCATCTGTAGGTTCTGTAACATTTCATTAAAAAAATCTGGTTTCACAAAGAATTTCTTAATTTTATATTATATTTATATGGTAAATAGAATAAAATCATACCCGGGAAGAGCGGGAATTTGACAGCAATATCTTGAACCGGCTTCTCAATACCAGCAGAAGCGCCTTGAGTGTTGGCAACCTCATTCATTATTATTCCGTGATTTACAAACACCCTATCTCATTTACTACAATTCCGCATTATTTGGAATTGAATGCACATGAACTTACAGTAAAACCTTACCGAATAATATCTAAAAAAGTAAATCAATCGCTCAGAATCAGACAATGTTAAAGTCAGCCATTTTGGTTTGATTTGATCTTGTCATTTTCTGTTCTCTGCTATGGTTTTCTGGGTCCTCTAAGAATAGGCTCACGTCTTTATGGTAAGGGCTAGTAACATAATCAATTAGTATACAAATATGAAATAAATATGTTACAGTTAAAACCCGTTATTGGAGAGAACGCGTTTTCCTCATTTAAAACTAGTTTTTAATAAATGCTTTTGTTAATAGCAAATTTCAGTAGGTAATAAAAAAAAAAATAAGTTAGAAAGAACGGAAATGAGAAGGTATTAAAAAACGAATGCACTAAAAAAGCACCTCTACTAGATGGCGATACTAGCAAAAGTTGATTTTTGCTGGAAACAAATGGACCAAAGACAGTAATTTCCGTTTCTATTAACTAACATATTAAAAATTACTGAAATTTGAAATATTCGAAACTTAGATAACAATACAAATACGAAAAAGAACAAAGAGAAAAAAAAAAACATTAGTTCCCAAAATCAAACTAGATGTCGCTTAGGTACGTTCTTGATTTCTCCGTGACCTTTCCGGTTTTTTTTCATGTTCTAATTTGTATTGATAACTAAGTTTCGAACTTTTCAAATTTCAGTTTTTAAATATGTTACTTAAAAGGAACGGAAATGAATGTCTTTGGTCTATTCGTTTCCTGCAAAAATAACTTTTGCTAGATTTTTTTTTTTACCAAATATCAATTTTTATAAAATATAGAAAACTTTAATGTGAATATTACAATTTTGAATTAATTAACACCTTTTATAGCTATTTAAATAAAAGTTGGCACTCAAAATAATGTAATTGGCATATTTTTGTTTAGCATTTTTTTGTTATCATTTTGGCATTTTTAGCTGTAGACGTGTTAGCAACCCTATCCGTTTTATTTTTTTTTTAGTTTCGGTTGTGGTTTTCATTAGTAACGACGTTAGAGTTGTGTTTTGGTAGTGTATCGTAACGTGAGTTGGTTTATTTATATCGTTGTCAGTTAAAACTGTGAATATGTGGTGTTAAGTTTTTCTATTTCGTTCCATAATTTTTTTGAACCCTGGACTTTTTATTTATATTTTGAAAAATATGATAAAATACTTTTGACTATACCGGTATTTACAACAATTAGGTATAAATAAAAATGAAAGAAACATTCCTCTTTATTCCATTACTCTGTGATATTTATTAATATTGGTAAATAGTAAAATTCAAATTATGACTGTGACGTACACCGGTGAAGTAGCTACCTGTCGAGGATTTGGCACCTTTCTTAAAGTTTTGTATAGGTAATTATACAATTTTTTAATATATTTTGTGTTTTCTTCTAATTTATTATATTTCAACACAAATATCTTCTTAATCTTGTAGTTTATGCAAGTTGTTTAGACAAAAAAATATTTTCGTATTAAAAAAATCACATAAGTAAAATATAAACATCAACAAACATGACAATCATGATATATAACTAAAAGGCCCTCATATTAGGGAGTATCTTTATCGTAAGTGTAATTATGTTTAATTCTATAATGCAAAAACCTATGACAAGGGAAACCTGCAACCAAATAGAGTTAATTTTTTTTTAATTGAAACATAATATAAATGATAAATTACAACAATTTTTGAACTATATTGGAATTTCCCTGTCATTCCCTAAATCATGCATGGGGCAAGAATATAAAAGACATATCTTTCTCCAAATATTGGCATATCTGATTAAGGCCATATTTTAAATAGCTGGGACTTCTAGCACACTTTAAATATTTACTCAGTTGGTCCAGTAGTTTCAGAAAAAATTCAGCTATAACAGATAGACAGACTTATAGATAAACAGTAGAGTGATCCTTTAAGTGATAAATATTCAGGTTCAGGTATGATACCCTAAAAATATTATCATAATGCGGTCTGTAATCTAATGTCAATTTTATATTATTAATGTTTCTGTTTCCTCTTCTATTTTACCTGAAGTATGGAAAGATGCTCATATCATCCCATTCCTAAAAACCTAAGCCTATTAATCACTCTGATTTCCATCCGATATCTATTCTTCCCTCACTTTTATGAATATTTTAATGCTTTAACCAACAACAATTGAACTTTCCTTAACTGTCATAAACTTTTCAATCCTTGCCAATCTGGTTTCTGCCCTGGACACAGTACTACAATGGTATTAGTTAAGATTACTGATAAAATTTGTGATGGGATGGAGAATTAGAAGTTAATGATATTAACATTACTGAATTTCAGTAATGCTTTTGGTACTGTTGGTTTTGACATTCTGATTCATTCACAGGCAACATATATGTGCTGAAAATTCAGTATTCAGTACCTTGCCTTTTAGTGTTTCTTAGGGTTGTCTGTTCTCTCCGTTATTATTTTCCTGTTTTTTACAATTCGATTACCCAACAATTCTCTTCTTCCTATCACTTGTATGTAGATGATCTTCAAATTTACTCACAGCATGCGTAGCATGACAAACTCAAGAAACACTTTGTCTACACCAAATGTCACCATTCTCAGGTCGTCAGTGAAACAGTGGTGTAATTCCTTTATTTTCAAAATGAATCCAAATATAATGCAGATTATAATTATAGACAGTTTTTTTATATTTTTACAATTAAATTTGATTAATTATCATATTTGACAATATATTGACAATATATTTGATAACATATTTGACAATATATTTGATAACATATTTGACAATATATAAAGAAGTTTGTAGCTTGATCTTCTCAGTAAACTTTAAATGTCAACAAACTCCCCATTCGTCATCATGGATTATCTTTTTCTTTCTACGCAATTCAACGGCAAATCCTTGGTTCCCGCTGAATAGACGGTTGGTCTCTTTGAGATTGGATTGATGTTAGCTAAAAAAAATATCTACCATATTAATTATAAAATAAAATAATAAAATAATAATTGCTAGAACCAAGAGGGACTCATCGGTAAAAAGTCGATTTAGTTTCTGATAAGTTGGCCACCACTGGAATAACGATTCTTGATCACGATTAAAGCTGACAGTTGTAATAGTACATACACATGTTATAACCAATACGCACGTATATCGTTCGACTTTTTTTAACACATTTGCGAGGAAACAGAAAAAAAAACACTAAATAAACTCAATCTGTGAATCTGTTGCTTTCCCGCCATTTTAACAGCGCGCCAGCGCTGCCTACTGACTGGAGCCGCGCGGCGATTAGTTCGAAATTTGAATAGCAACACCGCGCGAAATGGCAAATAATACTGTTATGGAATTTGTATGGACTATAACTTAACTATTTGCTTTGGTAACACACGCGTTTTTTATGACCCGCTTTACATATTTAAAACCGGTGGAATTACATCAGCTTTACGAGCAAAGGTGTTAAAAAATTATTAATTTAATTTCAATGTTTACTATTTCTCACAATATTTCTACTGGAAACAACAGTTTGGAGATTTGAAGGCGTTTATTCTTTCTTCTTATTTGCAGTACAAAGTACGAAAACGTTCGTAGGCATGCTTTCATACAAATCGGGTTTACTTAAGTGGGATTTGTTCGTTCGCACTTAGCTACTATCCTAACGCGTTAATTGACCTAATAGATTCATGTTATGTCGGTGCCCCTTCCATTATGCGGCGGGGAGGTCGCGGGGGGGTGCTCCCGTCGCTGCTGCCCGTGGTGTGCCCCCTCCACTCGTTGCGGGGGTGAGGTTGCGGGGAAGGGTCTTCATGTCCGCCGTCCGTAACAGTTCTCCCCCCGGCGAAGAGACGCTCGAAGAGATGCTCGGAGCCCCTTTCGCCGGATCGGACGGCTCGCCAGGCTCAGGATCGCAGCGCGTCCCTCCCCGCTGGTCCGGGGGAGGTGCGGATAATGTGTCCAGTGTCTCGGTGGTCAGCACGATGAGCTTCCTCGTTGGTCGCCGAAACAGCCCACCTCTGGTGCGTACGTCGGCGCTTCGGATCTCGCCGTCGGGCCCGGGGAAGATGCGTTCGATTACTCCCCGGGGCCAGATGTTGCGCGGTGAGTTCGGGTCGGCGATGATGACGAGATCGCCTACTCGAAGTGCGGCTTCTTTTCTTGTTTCGCCCCTCGGTACCAGCGTCGGAAGATATTCCTTCATCCAGCGCTGCCAGAAACTGTCGGCGAGCGCTTGGGTGGCCCGCCATTGGCGCCTGTCGCAGGGTCGACAGGGGCCGGTGAGTGGTAGACCTGATGATGTTCCTAGGAGGAAGTGATTCGGTGTGAGGGCTTCGGCGTCGGCCGGGCTGACCGATACGTGGGTCAACGGTCGTGAGTTCACCGCGTGTTCGGCTTCGGTCATCAGCGTATGGAGCACCTCTTCTTTCGGTGCCCTCTCGTGCAGCGTTGTGGCTAGAGCTGTCTTGACGGACCGCACTAGTCGCTCCCATGCTCCCCCCTGGTTGGGTGCGCCAGGGGGGATGAACTTCCATTCGACGCGCCGTTGCAGCAGGTAATCTTGTAGTCTGGGGGCCCATTCTCGTATGGCCGCTTGTAGTTCCTTGTCGGCGCCTTTGAAGTTCGTTGCGTTATCGCTCATTATAGTTTTCGGCCATCCACGCCGCGCTGCCATTCTTCTTATCGCCATTATCGCCGAGTCTGTGCTGAGGCTTGCCACAACTTCTAGATGTATCGCTCGGGTGGTTAGGCAAGTAAACAATGCGCCCCAGCGCTTCTCGTGGCGTCGTCCTACGGTGACGGTCATTGGCCCGTAGTAATCGAGGCCACAGCACGTGAAGGGCCTGAGGTGCGGGCTGAGTCGTTCGCGCGGTAAGTCCCCTGTAGATGGCGTTGTTGGCTTCGATCTTCTAACTCTGCACATCACGCATGCGCGGGTGGCGGTGCGAACCGACGGACGTAGGCGCAATATCCAGTAGCGTTGTCGTAATTCGTTGATGACACGCTCTCTGTTTGCGTGACCCGCCGCTTCGTGTTCTCTCACGATGATCTTCCGTGTGAACGGGTGCTTTCCGTCCAATATGATCGGCTTCTTCATTTCTTCTGGTACTGTCGCGGCGTTTATTCTTCCTCGTGCGCGCAGTACTCCGTTCATCAGCTCGGGGTCTAACTTGTATAGGCGGCTTGACTGTGGTATCTTCTTTCCTTGTTGAAGCAGTCGTATTTCGTCGCCGAAGGACTCTCGTTGCGCCCGTCGTAGCCACATATCTTCAGCTCGTGTCATGTGGCGTAGTTCCAACTGGCTGCCCTTTCGATGCCATTTTTCGATAGCCAATAGTACTAAGGCCGTGGCGCGGATGAGGCATTCGTATTTGCCGATTCGTTCTATATTCGGCATCGCTTCATTTTCGTTCGTAGAAGAGACGGTCGTGTGGGCCACTATTTCTTCGGAGATGGGTCCCTCTTCGTTGCTTCGTGTAGGCCATTCCTCCCTGTCGCGCAGCAGGAACTCCGGTCCGGATAGCCATCTCGCGGGGACGACGTCGGCGTATTTTGTTCGAGTTGCGTCGTCGGCCACGTTTAATTCGGTGGATATCCATCGCCATTGATTCGGCTCCGTTCGTTCGGCGATTTCACCCAGTCGGTGTGACACGAAGGCGGTGTAGCGGCGTGCGTCGTTGTTGATCCACGCGAGTACAGTTGTTGAATCCGTCCAAAACACCGTTTCGTCGATTGCCCATCGGTGTTCGGTTTTTATCGTGTCCGCCAATCTTGTCCCGATAACCGCTGCTTGTAGTTCTAATCGCGGAATACTCTGCGCTTTGAGAGGCGCTACCTTTGCTCTTCCGCTCACTAATGCTACGTGAGCCTCTCCGTGTTCGTCCTCGATCCTCCAGTAAGCGACCGTGGCGTAGGCGCTCTCGCTGGCGTCGCAGAACACGTGTAGCTCCCGTCGTCGACATTTCGTTGCCGTTGTATAGCAGCGTGTGATTGCTATCTCTCCCATGCGATGTAAGCCCCGTAGCCATGTGTGGAATTTATCGGCGTCTTCTTGTGGTAGCGGCTCATCCCACCCAATTTTCCTTCGCCATAGATCTTGGAGGAATATTTTCGCGGCGATTGTATATGGGCTCACTAGTCCGAGTGGATCGTACACGGACATGACAGCCGACAGAGCCTCTCTTTTCGTCGGCGATCTTCTTTCTTCCTTCACCTCCACGGGTACCCGTGCCATGGTGGTGTTAAATGTCAAGTTGTCTTCGGCGGCGTTCCATAGGAGTCCCAGTGTCTTCTCGAAGTGATTGACGTTCGCGCCGAGTCGGGTCGGTGACTGGGCGTGTAGTTCGGTGGGTATGGTTGCTAAGACGGCTGCGCTGTTTGAGT